TTTTGTAATACTACAAGCTTGAATGAGTTTTACTAACTTTGAATACAAAGTAAATGTTATATAATATAAAAAATAAATGTGTTTTCTTTTTATTACAATTTATTTTATTAATTTCACTAACTTATTTATTGATAGGATCAACATCGACTGGTGATCTAGTTCTATAACAAAAGTATATATAATGTAGTTATTGATAATCAGGGGTAGCGGGAGGGTCCAGTCGTAACTCATGAACCACTACTTGTGGTTTTAAACTACAGTCTGTTTTAGAATCGTCCACCACGTTCTCACCAATTGCACAATATTGATAATAGTAATATGGACATACCCTTTTTTAAACTTTGACAAAGATAGCAAGCACTATCGCTATTTATAAAATTTTACCGCTACTTATTTTATTTTTTGACAAAATATCCAAAAATGTTAAGATTAATGTTAATAAATTAACACAAAACGTGTAAATACATATGTAAATGCATATTCACGTGATAAATTGTGTATTCTGTGGCTTATGCATTCAAAAACTGCTTTAACGATAGTTTTTTTGATTGATGTATTTTATGTATTTTAAACCCAATAATACTTGAACAAAGATGTGGCATGCAGCGAGACAACAAGAAAAGAAGGTACCAATATTTATGTATTTTTGGAACCAATTATACCTTTACTTATTTTAGTTCTTTACCAATAGATCAAAGAGTTGATGGTGGATCATAAAAAAAGAGCAGAACGAAGGAGAGCGTACTATGAATCTCGAGTAAGTTCTCAAAATTCAAATCCACCATTTTGAAATTTTCTAATCGATTTATTCATTTTCAATTCAGCTTGGTGATCCTAGTCAACTACTTCGTCTCACTGGTACAGCGACTAAACTTTTTCCTAATGCGGAGCAACATTATTTCTATGAAAATTCAGAAAAGTCCCTGTAGGCTAGAGTTTCTTCCGAATTTAGTGCATTATCAAATACTAATGTTTCATATTAGGCATTATTTTTTTTAGTAGTCACCTTTGTGTACTTTGACCATTGTTTGATATTCCTGTAAATTTAATAAAGATATTCTATTTAACTTAATAAATACATATTGATTAGAATGCAATGGCAAGGAGATGCTGAAACGAGAATTGATAGGTTAGTTTAGTATTTTGTAAGAAAGTTCTTGAAATTTTTTAAATGTTTAAACTGAAATTTAATGTGTGGTATTGTTGGTAAATGCAATGTTAGATTTGATGGGCGTGCTCTATTAGATTACCTGCCACCAAATGTCCCAAACTTGTCTGTTCTTCCTACAGATGAAAGAGATTTACAAGAGGAACTTAACTTTGAAAGATTTCGTGACTTGGTCGAAAATGAGCGTCGTAATGGTTAGATAGTTAAATTCAACTATTTGCTTTATTTATTTATTTATTTATTCATTTTTTAATTCATAAATATCGTTGACCATTCTTAAACTAGTTTCAGAAGATAGCTGTCTTGAAGAAATTGAGGCCGAATGGACAAGTCTATTGGAAAGACATAAAGCAATGATCAAAAAATTACAAGAGTATTTATGATTATACATATGATATATGTTAATTCTTTTATTCGATAACCCTTAACAGGCATTTACATCTCTTTAGGAAATCTGATACAAATAATCAAAGTTTTGGATATGATTATGGTACAGAGAAGCAGGATGAAATCCCTAGTGATGAAGAATCACATCATCTTGATGATATCCATTCATATAATGTTAAAACGGAAAATCATTATAGTTAGCCGATCTTTTCTATTATGTTTATCTTAACATATTTTTTATACAGGAAGATATTTTAGATTATGTGGATGATTTAACTGATAAAGATCGACATACGTTAAATATCATGGGAAAAAAATATCAAATCCCAGATTATACCAGATTATTACGTATCGCAAAACGTGACAGAGAAGAAAAAGCACAAGAATTTAAAGAAAGTCAAAAGGTAATATAAGTAGAAATATGATATGCAATGATATTAAAAACGAATAAGGTTGTTGATTGTAAGTGACAATTATTTTAAAGATCAAAGAACGAAAGTCGCGGCGTCATACGTCACGAAAAGAGGAACATGGCGAAAGAACTCACACACAAAATCGGTAAAATATTCTTTAATTGGTCAGAATTTTTTAAGTTTACTCATATATAACGCTAAACTTCTTTTAGATCTTATTCAATCAGGGATTCTCCTACATACGAACCTTACACAGATTCGTGAGTAATTTTGAATATTTTTGTCACTATGTATATTTTATGTGTAGTCTAATACAGTCATTATTTCTCTAGCGATTCATCAACTAGCGTGTCAGATGAAGAAGAAGTTGGAAATTTTGTGATTGAATTTGGAAATTCCGAAGAAAATGCATTGGAATCGAGTTCTTCTCGACCACATTATTATCATAAAGAGGAAGTATCTCTAACACAGTCGCAAAAAGGATCATTGTCATATACACGGTTGGTGAAGTTTCTTTTTCCACACTATGATGGATCCGATTACCAAGAAACCTTTACGATAAGTGAAGAAATTTGCGAATGTCTACAATAGACTTGTTGAAGAAAAGGACATTTCTCCTTATAATACCTTTTTCGTTGTAGAAAATATTGATTAATGGATTAATGATTAAATACCTACTGTTTATTGACTTATTTTCATTTATATCCATTATTGGTCAATATTGAAGGAAAACTGGAACATTATCTAGCCAAAAAGCACCCGTGATATCAACCAGCTCACATATTAATACCAACAATAAGGCTCCTCCAAAAAAATTGACACCTGCAGAAAAACTACGCTTGAAGCTTCAAATGGGTTTGAATAAACAAATTCAAGTGGATGAGAAAAAGAAAATTCAGAAGGAACGTGAGCAGAAGTTTGAACGCTTGGGAAGTGAGGAAATGGAAAAGCATTTAATAAAATCTGCCAACAAAAGGCTTAAAAGGTTTGTTTTAATGTTTTTATTACCGGGTTCATGAATAAAGGTCGAATATAATTAATATAATTATTTCAGATCCATATCACATGAACGGACTCGTCAAACTGGTGCGTAGGCTGTGACCCAAACCTT